GTCAAGATATTTCAAGAATTCTGAAATGATTAATTTAATACACAATAATCGGAATCTTCATTAACAGACTTGGGAATTTGAAAGAAAATCTTAAACTTTATTTTCTACTTCATATTTTCATTTTTTTCTATTGTATCGCTACAGTGCAAGCTCTACGATACTCTGCATACAGTACAAGAGCTATTGAAAGTGCATGAGCAACCATACATTTAAACAGAATGTTTGAGTTTGAGTTTCCAAATTTTCGATGTTATGTAGTGCAAGTATTTATTCTTATATATACAAGAAGAATGTCAAACAAAATGGTGATTGAAAGAATAACACATTTATATCTACCCTATAGAGCAGCAGAATTTTTTGACAGAAGTCCTCTACACTGTAGTACTACAATAACTATAAATAAATGCAAAGTTGGCATATTTGCATTTTTGTCGAACCTCTGAGTCATGTCATAATCAAAATGATTGCTAACTTTCTTTGTTAGCAAAGATTTAGTTAATTGCAGAAAAGTTTTCAAATCTTGTCAAGATCCTGATCAGATTTTTTGCAGGCAGATTCCTCAAAAAAAACTTGACAAGATCTTGACAAGCATTGCTGAACATTCTTTGCGATTAAGAAACTTGCCAGATCTTGTGCAGATATTAACTTTCTGCAGGACACGGGGTTCAAAGGGTCAAAATCATCGAATAAGATGATGTTGAAGCGTTTTGGACACATTTGAGCAGCCATATATGGTACGCAATTTCAAGTCTTATGTGGACTAGTGCTTTATAATCTGAGATAGAGTCTGAAACATCTATGGTAAAAAAGGTTGTGGAATACTGGGGATAGTCTTATTTTGTAGCCAGACTTCTCTTCACATTAGCCTATGCTCAGCTCAAAACAAAAAATTTTGTCAGGAAAGATAGGGCTGAGATCATCCTTAAAAATTTGACTTGCAATGGATAAAGTTTTGATGGAATTGATACTGTACGCCACGAAACATTTTTCTGCTATGAGAATATATTTTCATTAACAAAATCGAAATATTCAGTTAGTATAAGTTTGTTTTTCTTGTTGTTGCTATTCAAAATCTCGTTGTCGTTTTGGATTGTACCTTTCCACTACTTCTGATTTTTCTTGTTTGTTATCATTTCCAAGCAGATTGAAAATTTCATCGATTTCTCTAATAGAATCATAATGTTCATTCTCTTTTGCCACTCTAACAAGAGTTTGTAAACGTTTCTGTAGTGCTAATAAACCTTGTTGCTGTATTGGATAGGCTTGAATAGTTAAACACAAAATCAATATTAATGCTGGAATTGAAATATTCATTGTTTGGATTTAAATTCGAATTCAAGATAAAAATAGTATTTTCGAATTGTAATGTGCTCTTTGTGAATACTCAATCAGGTAATATCACCGTTATTGATCTTTCTCTCGACCAGGGGAGATAGAAATACTAATTGTACCATATGCTATGGTGTTTAGTACGATACGCATCAGTTGTTAAAGAAATTATTTATTAGTAATAAGAGTGAAATAATTAGTTTTCATTCAAATTCATATCACCCGCATAAACAACACA